TCATTTCGCGCGCAACGCGCGCGTTGGCTGCCCTAGTTATACTCAAAAGTAAATAAAATAATCAATAAAGTATATGTACAATCACTTATGCTCGGAATATAATGCCACAAACTTTGAGTGTGGTTTAATAGCATAAAATATGTACAATCACTACTACTTTGCCCGTTTTCTACATTTCTTATCTAATGAGCTATTTATCTATCATAACATGTCAATTACAACTAGTCTTTGGTGTCCAATGTTTGAAATCATAGCAAATTAACATTATTCTAAGTTTTAGGACGGCTTTTACCCGAAATCGCCTATTTCACTACTACTTTGCCTGTTTTCTACATTTCTTATCTAATGAGCTATTTAACTATCATAACATTTCAATTACAACTAGTCTTTGGTGTCCAATGTTTGAAATCATAGCAAATTAGCATTATTCTAAGTTTTAGGACGACTTTTACCCGAAATCGCCTATTTCACTACTACTTTGCCCGTTTTCTACATTTCTTATCTAATGAGCTATTTATCTATCATAAAATGTCAACTACAACTAGTCTTTGGTGTCCAATGTTTGAAATCATAGCAAATTAGCATTATTCTAAGTTTTAGGACGGCTTTTACTCGAAATCGCCTATTTCACTACTACTTTGCCCGTTTTCTACATTTCTTATCTAATGAGCTATTTATCTATCATAACATGTCAATTACAACTAGTCTTTGGAGTTTAATGTTTGAAATCATAGCAAAAGATCATTTTACTCAGTTTTAGGACGACATTTACCCAAAATCGCCTTTTCCACTTGTACTTGCCCTTTTTTATATTTTTTTCCGTTTGGAATTTTTTCACAAACATTGTCCATAATACACTAAAAATGCAAGTACGCAAAAATTACACAAAGTTGCATGAACGGCTCGGTTTCACGAACGGATGCTGCCTGGGCTGTTGCAGCAGCTGCCTGTGCAGCGGCTTGGCTGCTGCAGCTGCAGCTGCCAGGTGGCAGCTGCGGCTGCCTGTGCAGCTGCCTAGGCTGCTGCTGCGGCTGCCTGGCAGCTGTTGCAGTTTGGTGGCTGGCTGCTTGCAGCTGCCTAGCATAACCCGAGGCTGTTGCCTTGGGTGCTCACTTTCCCAATTTCTTCATTTCTTACCCAATGTGCAGTTTCTTTATTATAACATGTCAATTATAACTAGTCTTAGGTGTCTAATGTTTGAAATCATTGCAAATTAGCATTCTACTAAGTTTTAGGACGGCTTTTACCCGAAATCGCCTATTTCACTACTACGTTGCCTGATTTCTACATTTCTTATCTATTGAGCAATTTCTTTATCATAACATTTCAATTATAACTAGTCTTAGGTGTCTAATGTTTGAAATCATTGCAAATTAGCATTCTACTAAGTTTTAGGACGACTTTTACCCGAAATCGCCTATTTCACTACTACGTTGCCCGATTTCTACATTTCTTATCTAATGAGCAATTTCTTTATCATAAAATGTCAATTATAACTAGTCTTAGGTGTCTAATGTTTGAAATCATTGCAAATTAGCATTTTACTAAGTTTTAGGACGACTTTTACCCGAAATCGCCTATTTCACTACTACGTTGCCTGATTTCTACATTTCTTATCTAATGAGCAATTTCTTTATCATAACATGTCAATTATAACTAGTCTTAGGTGTCTAATGTTTGAAATCATAGAAAATTAGCATTATACTTAGTTTTAGGACGGCTTTTACCCGAAATCGTCTATTTCACTACTACGTTGCCCGATTTCTACATTTCTTATCTAATGAGCAATTTCTTTATCATAACATGTCAATTATAACTAGTCTTAGGTGTGTAATGTTTGAAATCATAGCAAATTAGCATTATACTTAGTTTTAGGACGGCTTTTACCCGAAATCGAACCGGAAAAAAGTAAAAACAAGTACCTCCTCAATGTGTTGGGTTTCAGTGCACCTATTGACTATGTCATTCATAAACCTCATCACGTAGAGGTCACAGTCAACGCCGTTGTCTTGTTGCGCACACTAAAATGACACAATATTAAAATAGTCATGCATAGCCAAAACTCAAGGCAATTTTTTTTAAAATTCAATATATCGAGGCTTTACCTTCGCATATTTCCACGTGGGACCCGCAACCGAACGACAATTCAACTTCTTCATAACACTTCAAAAAAATAAAAAAAATCTAGTCACTCAATCACTTAAGTGATGATACAAAACAATATATAGGAAGCGGTATGTACCTATTCAATAGGTTATTCACTAGCAACTTCCTTGGTGGCCATATATGAGCCGAGTCAAAGTAGTAGATTGTGTTATTGGAAACACAAATCACCATAAGGCTCCAATGTAGACTACATGTATATTAAAGCAAATATCATATCAATCAATTGTTATGCGTCAACATCTATACTTAACATACAAACTAAGAGTGATATATTTACACTTACTCCTCAAAACAAGGGGCTAATAAGAACTTGTATCCCGCACGCATTGATTCTCTAATAGCCCGCTCAAGGTAATCTATCACATCACGAGGTTTATTCAAGCATTTGGTTACGGAGGTCTGCTCGGGGCACAACCACCCAACTGCTGCTTCACCATCGGGTTTACTAGCAAGGAGCTCCTGTAGTGACCTTCAAGAAAGTAATGTGTGCAAGTAATTACTAGTTGCATTGTTTTGGTATGAAAATATCAAAAATACAATATTTTTAGAAATAGTCTCTATAATTTACCTCATGAATGTTTGAATGATGGATATGTTAAGCATGGAACCGGTTAGAAATTCCGTCACATCCTCTCTAGAAATGTATGCGATCGCATCCTCATCATAGTGGAACAATGCCTTAGGCAAGTTCACTTGAATATGTGTACCCGTAGGCAACTCACTAACACGGTTGTGAAGAAAAGTACATGCTTTCGAAAGCGACCTAAGGACTTTGGCTTCTACTAGTGGAGTACATGAAGCTCTCGAACTCTTCTTCGACACTTGTCCTTGTTCCTTGGATTTTTGCTTCTCCACCTTCTTTCTTTTAGCGGACTGAATTTCCATAGTAATCTAGTAGCATAAAAAAACATGGTCATTGCACAAAGCACATGTTAATCTAGTTACATACAAGTATTTTTTACTTACCCCTCCTACCAACCTCAACCGATCACGTGGCCATTGCACAAAGCTCCCGGTCGCGTCACGCAGCTTAATAAAGTCATATTCCTCTCTAGGCACCGGTAGTGGTAAGTCCTCAAACCCAACAACTATAGAATCAATCCCAACCGAGATGTAATGGGTGCTAGTATTAGACTTAAAATGCACCTTGTCAAAAGGTTGTGCACTACCATACCCCACCAACTGCAACTGTCCACCGGTTGTTTCCCCGGGGTGAAGAAGCTCACAAGGCGTCTCTTCCTACATATTTGGTTAGGAGTTAGGACATAAATTAAGAAATAATAAACGAAAGCCTAACATAAGAAAAGTTGATTAGGTAGTGAATTTCACCTTAACATCTGGGAAAGGTTCAGGCATCGGATTTGCTCTCTTCAGTGACTCTGCATCCGTAGGACTTGGATCCTGCAAAAGTAAAATAACTAAACATGCAAACGACCTCATTAGACAAACTTCATATGACGTAATTCGTCCTAGTACTAAAATTACCTCTCTCTCAACTACTGGATCGTCCTCGGGGCCTCCTGGGTGACTATGTGAGTCTACTGGGGTACTCGAGGGAAATGGCAAAGGCAAGAAGTTCATGTGCTTCAGAATGGCATTGAATTGACTTTGCATCTGTTCTTGCAGCTCCGCGCGTATCTCCGCCTTAATTGATTCCTTTTCCTTCTCATCAATCCGATGTGGCGAATTAACACTTGATCTGCTTTTTGCTGATTTGGTGTATTCTGAACCCATCACCTTCTCCCACCCTTGTTGTTTCCCGCCAAAACCAATTACTCGCCCATGGTGGTATGGTTTTCCCAAAGCTAAGGTGAAAGGATCATGTGCGATGCTTGGAGTCAGCTTGCCTTCAATCACTTCCGAAGTATGCTCGAGCTTTAACAACACATAAAAATTTATCAGATCTAAGTACAATGTACTTGACAAGGAAATAAAATTAATAAGTAGAAAAATTTGCTTACAAGTGCATCTGCTACTACTTTCTTATCCGGTTGCATGACATACTTGCCGGTTTCCTTGTCCAACCCATGCATAGCACACCACCAGTCAATTGCACGAGTAACCAAAGTTGTCACCGAGGAAGAAAGTGGTTTATCAGTTGATGACATTATGGATTTGGGGTATAGACCCGCTTTGACCCACTTTGGTCTTGACTCCGCAAAGGTCTTACAACCCATATGATGATTATACAATTTATTTCCGGCATTGATTCTAGCTTGTTCGGTTTTTTCCTACAGATTCAGATATATATGTTAGCATCAGTCATTGTAAGAAACTAAATATGAGTAGCCGACTCTATTGATAAATAAAAACATACAAGTGCGGTCATAGTGGAAGATTTTTCCACAAACTTCTCCCAATCATCCACCGTTATTTGTGGATATAAATCCCACGGTTTCTTATCAGGTTTCTCTTCTTCTCCATCTGCAGGCACATTTTTCTTTGGTCTTCTCTTTCTTCTCTTATGGATCCATCTCGTCCTCAAGTAACTCTTGAAGTTTTTGAATCTCTCTTGTACAAAAGATTCAAACACTTTTCTCTTGGCCGGCTCATCAGGAATATGGAACATACTCTGTAATTGGCGCAAACATCCACGTTAGGCAAAAGAAAAAAAAATGAAAAAAAAGGGAAAAAAAACCCGAGAATCGGGCAAGGCACCTGCTGCCCAGGCACCTGCAGCACCCCAGGCAGCTGCAGCACCCAGGCAGCAGCCCCGGGCAGCTTCCGGCTGCAGCCCTCGGGTTAGGCCCGGGGGTTGTTTTTGCAATTTTTTTTGATATATATGAATTTAAAAAAAAAGTTTGATTGCAATAAATACTTACCATAGTATCGTCCTAAAATGTTTGAAGCAACCCGTGAGGTATCTCGGCAAACTCAAGTGTGATTGGTATTTTACGAGTTAGAATGCCAACTTGACTAGAAAATTTGTCGCGCCATTGGCCAGTAGGTTGACCTAACTCATCAAACTCAAGCACCATAGGAACGCCGGGTTTCTTGAAAGCTTTAGTTGCACCCCTGCTCTTTCTATTCACCGGTGGCTTTACCCCTCCTCCACCACCGGTTTTTTTCACTTGCCTTTGCATTTGAGTTTCACAATGTGAATCACCTACAAATTCGCTAACTACATTATCATTAATAGGTGGGGCAGTTTCAGCTATACGCTCAAATTCATCAAGCTTATGTTGGAACTGGTCATAAGCTTGGTCTTCCGGTTCCCCCATATCCGTCTCCTTATTAACATCATACAACTCGTCCCCAGAATCATCATCTATATCCTCATCAGAATGAAGGTTCTCATCAGGATCCATGATATGTGCACACCTACAGTAAACAAGCAAAGCCTGTTGTTAGTCATCAGTAATGGCAATCAATTCTGAGGCACGATGAAAGACAAACACTTACCCAACTTCTTTGGTTTCATAACAAATTCACATATAATCCTCTAAACAATTCATATATTTAGTGAATATTACATGCTTATACGTTGAAAATACAAAAAAAATAAAACACTTCCCGAAATAAAAACAAAGTTGTTGGAGCATAAGATATTTAGTAAATGAAACATGCATTAATAAAAGTACCTCATTCGTGTATTCCCTCATTGTGGTCAGATCGAATATAAGTTGCATCATCATCTACATCAGTTGCTACATCAAGTGTAGGAGCAGTGAAAGGGGGAGAATCATCAAATGCATCATATTCTTCATTGTCCTCAACCTCTCCAACCCCTAAAATTCTCCTTTTGCCAGATAGGATGATGGACCATCTTGGATCGAACGGGTCAGTTACATAGAACACTTTCTTAGCTTGAGATGCAAGGATGAATGGTTCAAGACTATCCCGCAAGTGGCCAAGATCTAAAAGAGTGAAGTCATCATTTCTCACGTTGCGCCTATTATTATCGACCCATTTACACTTGAATATACCAACCTTGAAGTCACGGTAATCTAGTTCCCATATTTCCTGAATTCGTCCATAGTATGATAATAGTGCGTCAACTGGTGATGTATCCTTCGCACCAAACTCTCTTGATGAAGCCACAAGAGTGACACCACTATTTTGAGTTGATGATGATTTCTGATCCCGACTTTCAGTCCAAAATGTGTACCCATTTATATCATATCCCTCAAATGAATGAACATCTTCCTTCAGACCATAAGCTAGCCCCTTTATTGTATCAGACACAGTCTCATCCAATTGACGCATCACACGATCATGGAACCACTTCACAAACATCTTATTATGCAACTACATTAGTGCTCTTTCCCCTTTTGATGGATATTCAACACGCAAACTATCCATGTGCTCTTCTAAATATGGGTGAACCTCCGCAATATGATGAAGCACAAATAAGTGAGCTTGCATGATTTCATCTCGAGAAGCCCAGATCCTTTTTGACCCGATTGTGCCATGACCATCAAGTCTCCCTTCATGTCGGGATGTAGGAAGCCCAATAGGTTCGGCAACGGCAACATACTCTGCCACGAAATTCCCAATCTCCTCGGACACAATTCCTTGTATCATACTGCCTTCCGGATGGGATGGATTTCTTACTTTATCTTGCAGTGTACCCATGTGTCGTTCAAAAGGGTAGCACCACCTCATAAATACTGGACCGCACAAATTAATCTCACGAACCAAATGCAGAATCAAATGCACCATTATGTCAAAAAGTGAAAGTGGGAAAAACATCTCAAATTTGCACAAAGTTACCACAACAGTCGCCTGGAGAGCATCAAGTGTAAAGGGATCAAGAACTTTGCTGCAGATAGTATTGAAAAACCCACAGAGGCTTGTTATAACTTCTCTCACGTGCTTTGGTAAAATTCCACGAAGTGCAATCGGTAGGAAAACTTGCATCATCATGTGACAATCATGGGATTTCATACTTGTCAACTTCAATTATCCATTTAAGGAAACAAACCTTTTCATGTTTGACGAGAACCCAGAAGGAAGCTTAATGTCATACAAACAAGCACAAAACCTCCGTTTTTCTTCCTTTGATAATGTGTAGCAAGCTGGAGGTAAATACACCTTTTGGTTTTTTCCTTTTCCATCACCGTTCTTCTTTGTGGTACCCGTGGCCTTGTCCTTGCGCTTCCCCTTACGGTTTTGACCACCATCTTCGTTTCCCTTTTCCTTAACCTTCGCCATCCCTACCTTAGCTTGAACCCACAACTCCGGACGAACACCCCACTCTTGCAAATCTAACCGCGCATTCTTGCCATCCTTCGTTTTTCCAGGAATGTTCATAATTGTCCCCAGAATTGCATCACAAACATTGTTCTCTATATGCATCACATCGAGACAATTTCTAACATCATGTTCTTTCTAGTACTCAAGCTTCCAAAAGATTGATTCCTTTTTAAAGAGAGCGTGTGGGTCAATTGGTTTCGTTGTTTTACCAAAAACACATGGAATACCCTTCACTCTCTCATAAACCTCCTTTCCACTCAATGGCCTAGGCGCAACCCCCTCCTCAACTTTCCCATCGAAGGCCTTTTTCTGCTTACGATACGGATGATTGCGCCTAAGAAATCTTCGGGTCCTCACGTACACATATTTGCCATAGTGGTCAAGGTACACGTTCGGTGTGTCATCAATACAAATGGGACATGCTTTATGCCCTTTGTTCTTGTACCCAGACAGATTTCCATATGCAGGAAAATCATTGATGGTCCACATAAGGGCAGCACGCAAAAGAAACATCTCGTTCTTATGGGCATCATAAACGGTAACACCTTCGCCCCACATCTTTCTCAAATCATCAATAAGGGGCTCAAGGTAAACATCAATGTCGTTTCCAGGTTGCCTTGGCCCCGTTATCAAAAGTGAAAGCATTATATATTTCCGTTTCATACACAACCACGGAGGCAAGTTGTAAATCACTAAAAGTACCGGCCATGTGCTGTGTTTAGTACTAAGAGTGTCAAATAGATTCATACCGTCTGTGCACAACCCAAGCCTTAAATTTTTGACTTCACCACCAAATGCCCTAAACTTCATATCGATGTTCTTCCATTGTGGAGAGTCAGCAGGATGCTTCAACAAACCATTTTTCTTTCTTCTCTCAGCATGCCATCTCAGGTTCTTGGCGTCTTTTGGAATTGAAAATAGACGCTTTAACCTTGGAATAATAGGAAGATACCACAACACCTTGGCAGGAGGTCCTTTACTACCAGCATTGCAGCTTGATCGCTTGTAACGCGACTTGCCGCAACGTGGACACTCCTCCAACTCTTCATATTCATTTCGATACAGAACACAGTCATTAGGACATGCATGTATCTTTTTATACTCCAAACCAAATGGACACATTAGTTTCTTTGCATAATCATAGGAATTAGGAAGTTCATTCCCATCTGGAAACATATCACATAACACATTCAACAAAGAAGTGAAACTAGTGTCACTCCAGTTATGCTTAGACTTAATGTTAAATAGTGTAAGCACGACTGAGAGTTTTGTGTATTTTTTGGACCCGGGATACAAAGGCTTTTTGGCAGCCTCTGATAATGACTCAAATACATCAGGTCGGTCACCAAATTCACCTTCAACATCACGCATCATCTCATCCAAGTGATCATCACCACCACCATCCTCGGTGTCATCCCCTTCACCACCATCATCACTCCCATTTTCTTCTTCAACATGAATCTCGGCACTTTCAACATGCGTCTCATTGCCAACAACATTCTCCCTATACGCTCCCTTCTCACCATGCCAAACCCAAACATGATATTGAGGCCTAAACCCATGACATTGTACATGAGCCATGATGGTATCCACACTATTGACCCTTATGACATTATTACAATTGACACAAGGACAATAAAGGTAATTGACACCCGTTCTAAGCTGATACTGTGAAGCACTCTTGCAAAACTCTTGAACCCCATTAAAAAAATCCAATGAATCACGTCTACCATACATCCAACCGCGATCCATTGACGATTTAAATTACCTTTAAACATACCAACACATTTCAAACAATGATAAATGTAACATATATTATGTAATCAAAGTACATAACATATATATCATCCATAAATCGTAAAAATGAATGCTCCCAAAAGGTCCTTATCACTCCAACCTAAACCATCCTTGAACGTCTAATCTCACTAGTGAATGTATGTCAACTTTTCAATTTTAAGGAAAATCCGGCAGCATTTCCCCCCAGTTCTCCAAGTACACGATGTAGGTAATAACTTACCTACATATGTACCCAGAGAACATGGTGAGAAAATGAGAAGCCCGGATATTCCTTAAAATCGAAAAAGAGACATACATTCACTACCTAAATGAGATTAAACGTCCAAGAACAGTCCCAAGTGGGGACTATTCAAGACTTTCTCCTATTGAGAAAGACTCGAACGGGTATGTAGGCAAATGATGATGCAAGCATTCAATTATTATTTGCATTTATTTGACATTCAAAAATAAACAAGTTCAATCATTTAAATAGGGCTAATAATTAAATTAACATACATACAAAATCAAACTAAGTTTACTTATATATATATATCAATCCATTATATTCATATATACATTGCAATTTATTAACCACATTTAACAAACTAAAATGTTAACTAATATATATTCTATTCATCAATTTCATTTAAAGCTACTCAAATTCAAACAATATATATATACATATGAAACTTGGATTAACTACTTAAAACCCTAACTTGAAATTTTGGAATAACAAACAATTAATACTAATTAATACATATGAAACTAAAATTTAGCAAGAACTCACCCTAATTTGAGAGTGAGAAAGACAAAGATTGAAGCTAGAGTGCGTGCTTGGGCTCGGTTCAACAACACCCTCGAACATGCACCACCACCAAGTACACCCACAAACACCACCAGCTAACACCGGCGGCCTCGAGCAACCACCATCAACCTCCGACCAAGCAGCAGCCGCCTCGACCCACCACCAGCAGCAGCCTCAACCCACGACCCCCAAACGCCGCAGCTTCAATAAAAATAAAAATGGAGTGGTGGTGGCCGGAATCTAAACAAGCTAACTGACAGTGGTGGTGGTGGTGGTAGCCGGAAGACAGGTGAGAATGAGGGAGACAGAGAGGAAGAGTGAACGCGGGGGAATTGAAAATTTTGGGAAGTTGGAATTGAATGAATGAAACAGGGAGGAGAAGAGGAGGAGTGAAGCCTGCTTTTTTTTTTTTAAAAAAAATGGTAAGCGGTTTAGTCTTGAACCGCTTGCCAATTTAACTAATGGTAAGCGGTTCAAGGCCAAATCGCTGGCCATTAGTTAAAAAGGAAGCGGTTCGCGCCAAAACCGCTGGCCATTTCACTTCCCTTTTTTTTTCTTATTAAGCAAATGGGAAGCGGATTTTGTAAACCGCTTGCCTATAACCGCTTCCCATCACATTGTTTCTACTAGTGGTAAATTCAAAGGAAAGAAATCTTACTAACTTTGATTGATATGAAGAAGAATCACAAACTTGATTGAAGAAACAATGTTGAATTACAATTCAAATCCAAAGATCACAAACTCTACTTTCTCTCTAATTTCTCTCTAGTTTCTCTCTCTAAAAACTAAGCAAATGAAATATTATCTAAAAGTTAGTCTTCAAAAGGATTTACAATAGTATATATAGACAAAGAAGAAAAACTGATCGGTCGCGCCCTCTCCACGAAGACTCCGCGGGCGCGCAGAAATGGGTACGGAACCCATAACAAACTTCGCGGGCAGTCTGGGAAAAACCCGCGCCCACGGCATCGGCACCCGCTCTCGTGGCTCAGGGCGCGGCAAAATGCCCTGTTCCAGGTGAAGCAGGGAGCCGCGGTCTCTCTAATCCGGAGCGCCCTCTCCAAAATCTCCGCGCCCGCGGGTAGACCGCGGCTAGGGCGTGGAGAGTTCCTGCCCAAAATCACCAAAATGTGCACCAAAACCCGCGCCCGCGGCCCATAGGAGAAGGGGAGCGCCCTCTCCAAGCCCTCTCCATGAGACTTGAATCCTTTTTGCTTGGCTCTTTTTGCTCCTCTTGAATCCTTTGCTAAGCTTAGTCTTTAGGCACCTACAAGAGAAACCAAAGAGAGAAAATAGAAGAGAAAAAGAGCAATATAAAAGGTAAACACGAGGAAAAGCACATAAAGGAAAGTAAAACACGAAAGAAGAAGAAATAGAGAAACTAGAGGAGAAATGATCAAAATGGTAAAAGAAAAGCATGAAAAGCATAGTGAAAATATCTTAAAACACTACCCTATGAGTGCCATAAATGACACTCATCAATCATCTGACACTAGCTCACATGTACTTGTTTATTTCGCAAAACCAAGCCTCAAATATGCATCTCATCAATTAGAATCACAATCTAAAGTAAATATATGAGCTCAAAAGTAAATTACTTGAGCAAGTAGGCTAATGTATCATGCATAGAAAAAAAAAATTACTCTACGTAAATAAAAAAAATCAAAAGTAAATAAAAAAAAAAGCTCTGTAAATCAATATGGTGAAGTGTATGTCATAATACACGTTCATAGTAAGGAAATATAATAATAAAGATACAATAGCAAGACAAAAAATGATGTTGAATTGAGATTACCAACTGCAAACTTTATCTAAATTTATTAGCTAAACATAACATCCATAATTACTCTGGAAACAACAATGCCACTCTATTACAACCATGCAATAAGGCACTATATACAAAAATAAAAAATAAAAAAATTATGATTTGAAGTATCAAACATAATTAATAACCAACCATCAACCCTGCAACAGCAAATCATTCAAATGGAACCAAAATAAAAAGTGAAGTTATCGTCATGCAAGCAATAGGTAGAAATTTCTCCGAAATCAATTCAAATCGAAACACCAACTAAATTAAAAACTAAATCGAACAAATCTGACATAAGTCAGATTAATTTCTATTATTTCAACCGAAAACCTAGTTACAAAAAACTGACAATAAAATTAAATTCAATTCTCTACCTTGGAATTGAAAATCGCAAGAAAGATCAACAAGAATCGCAACAAAATCTCGCTAAAAATAAGCAAAATAGAAAATTGCTCAAACTGAAAAATAACGAAAAACCCCAATTGAAGACTCGAAATCATAAAAAATTAAAAAAAAAAACTACAGCAATTGAATTAAACATAAGAACTGAACAATCAAATAACTTACCTGTGCAGTATCAATTTACGATGAAAAAAAGTAAAAAAGAACAGCAAATCCAACGACAATAAGAGCTTTGATAATTCAAAGGAAACGAGAGAACTAGAGAGAATTTAGAGGAAGAGAAAGAATGTAAAAATGAAAATCAAATTAATTGAAGCTAGTCACACTACCACAAAAAGTGGAATAAGTAACACATAATACACAACGCTCATCTTACACAGGCGATCTCTAGAATTCTATAGAACGCCTATGTAAGATGAGCATTTTGTATGTGAAAGTTATAGAACGCCTCCATTAGTCAACCGTTCTATGTGATACATCCAAATTTTACACTATGATATAAAACGCCCTCTCCATTAACCGTTATACAAGTGTTTAAAATATTTTTTTTAAAAAAAATAAAAGCAAATAAAAACAAAATCCTCACATGTATTAGGGTATACCTAACCCTAACTCTCTCTCTTTCCTCTCCAGCCGTCCCCTTCACTTCCCTTTCCTCTCATCTTCTCATTCCATAGTCCATACCTCACTTCCCTAACTCCTCTTACTCCCTCAACCACTAGCAAATATAATCACCACCGCCATCATCATAGACGCCACCAACAAGATGTCGTACCCAACAATGCTCACCCAATACAACCTCACTTCTCGTAGCGGCCACCAGTGACCAACAAGCTGTCGTAGCCCGACTTGCTTCTCCGTGCTCCATCCCACAACACTGGCCACCACCCGGATCGAACTCTACACGACTTCCTTCAATCCGCCTAAATCTCCCTCACACCGGAAGTAGTAACGATCGTCTACCACTGTACGAAGTAGTAACTTTTCATTTTAATTCTTTGTTTTTTAATTTTCTAATTTCTGATTTTCATCATATGATTTGGTTTTATTTTTCTATTATATTATTATATCTAACATTTTGATCCTTTTTTTTAAAAAAAAAAAATTCATTTAAAATTTTAAATTACTTTAGATCTAACTTTTCTATTAGTTTATCTTCTTCTCGTAAAGCATTGGGTGTTAGTTTTGTGCTTTAGATCTAACTTTTATGTATTTTGTTTCCCCATTTTGCTTAACTGATTAAAGTTTATCATTATTTATTTTTTAAATTTCTTCAAATTTTGTTAAACAATATATTAAGCAGGTGTATGTTAGTGCGACTACTCTATTTTTATGCGCCATTTGTAAGTGTTTGGTATGGATGCTCTGTTCTAATGTGTTGTTGGTGGAAGCACAACTATTAGATTCGATGATTGTGGTGGTAACGAGTTGCAAGGGGTGGCAGCAATGGTGGTGGTTTTAGTGAACTTGTAAAGTTATATTTTTCCTAAAGGATTTAAGTTGTAATTTTATTTTGGCATGTTAAGTTGTAATTGAAATTTTTGTATTTTTAATTTATTTGATATGAAAAACTTATCATTATTGTGGTTTGTTTAATATACGCATGAATTATAATAATAATAATTAATAATAATAATAATAATAATAATAATAATAATAATAATAATAATAATAATAATGTTTTTTTAATTAAAAAAGGTGAGGAATAGAGAGCGCCTATTTATGATAGGCGTTCTGTTTTTATGTAGCTATATAAAATATGAAGCGCCTATCTTAGATAGGTGCTCTGTATGGTGTAAGATATAGATCGCCTCAAAGAGGCGTTCTATAGACTTTATAGGACACCCCCTCAGAGGAGAGCCCTACAGGCGATATATATTGCTTGTTTTAGGCGATCTCTATTCCTTATTTTGTGGTAGTGTCATTCGAAGCGTGAATTTACGATTTTGCCCTTAATGAGGCGGGTGAAGTGTAGACCGTCAGATCTAGTGCGATGGACGGCTCGAATGAGTACTCAGTTTGTATTATTCGAGTTAGTTCGCACATGATCCTATATATAAGAACCCTTTCTTATGTAAGAGCACCTTATGTCCTTAAATGTTCTAAATTGTTTTTTTCTTCTTATGTTCTAAAATTTTTCCTCTATTCAAATATTTTTTTTCTTTTGATGTTCAAATTTTTTTTTTGAGGGAATTCCAAATTACTTCCTATGCTCTATTTTTTTTTTTGTTCGTATGTGTTAAATTATTTTTTCAACTTTTGTTCTAAATTTTTTCCTATGTTCCAAATTATTTTTTAGCTTATGTTATAAATTATTTTTTCAACTTATATTCTAAATTAGTTTTCTTATGTTCTAAGCTTTTGTTTGCTTATGTTCTAAATTCCATCTTCTAAATTTTTTTTCTTACGTTATTAATTTTTTCTACTTATGTTCAAATTTTTTTTTGCTTATGTTCTAGAAATTTTCCTATGTCCTAAATTTTTTCTATGCTCTAAATTTTTTTTATGTTAAAAATATGAACTCAAAATTGCAAAAATGTCATTACTAAAGGATCATTTTAGATGGTTAGATCAAAACTAATAAAGGCTTCAGATTGGTTCTTATATATATATATATATATATATATATATATATATGTGTGTGTGTGTAATTTAGAACATAAAAAAAAAAAATTAGAACATTGGAAAAATTTTAGAACATAAACAAAAAAAATTTAGAATATAAGAAGAAAAAAAAATTTAGAACATAAGAAAAAAAAAATTAGAACATAAGCAAACAAAAATTTAGAACATAAGCTAAAAAAATTTAGATTTATGCTTGATTTTCGATTTATGTTCAATTTTATATTTTCATGTTCTAAATTTTTTTGTTTATGTTACAAAAACAATTTGTCTATGTTCTAAACTTTTGCCTTTGTTCTAAACTTATATTGTGAGCCTATGTTCTAATTTTTTTTCCCCTAATCTTTAAAATCATTTCCTATATTCTTAGTTTTTAGTGTATGTTCTAAACTTTTATGTGTGTTCTAAATTTTTTCCTATAATCTAAACCTATCTTTTGAACCTATGTTCTTAATTTTTTCCTATAATCTAAACCTATCTTTTGAGCCTATGTTCTTAATTTTTTCCTATAATCTAAACCTATCTTTTGAGCCTATGTTCAATTTTATATTTTCATGTTCTAAATTTTTTTTGTCTATGTTAAAAAAAAAAAATTATCTATGTTCTAAACTGATATTTTGAGCCTATGTTCTAATTTTTTCCCTATGCTCTAAAATCATTACCTATATTCTTAGTTTTTCTGTTTATGTCCTTAATTATTATGTGTTTTATCAATTTCAATTCTTCCTATGTTCTAAACCTATCTTTTGAGCCTATATGTTTTAATTTTTTCCCTATGCTCTAAAATCATTTCCTATATTCTTAGTTTTTCTGTTTATGTTCTCAATTTTTATGTGTGTTCTAAATTTCAATTCTTCCTTTGTTCTAAATGATGTGTATTTTATATAGTATTTTACCCCCGTCCCTTGGTCGTAATTAATAGTGTTTTTGGCTCTTTAGAGCCACTTTTATTAGTAATTGGTGTTTTCTATTGTTTTCGTAGATTTGGTTGACTTTTACAGGGATTTATGCTTTTGGAGTATTTTCCAGAGATATTTTGGAGCAATCACGAGCATTGGAGAAACACGACCAGATTTTATAGCCCAGGGCCGGTTAGAACCATCGAACCGGTGATTAAGGGCTCGGTATAGGTGATACCGGGGCATTTGGGCCGAGTATTCAAGACCGGAAGAGGAAACCCAAATTGGCCCGAAGAATTAGGGCCCAATCGTAGTCCAAACAATGGCCCAAGAGAGTCGCCCGGCCAAAGAGGCTGGCGCCCTGAGGGGCGCCCGGCCGGGCGGGAGAAGCTAAGGTTGGCGCCCGGTGACGCGCTCGGCCGGGCGCGAGATTATTATTGAGGAAGCAAAAAGGCGCTCCCGATCGGGCGGTGCCTCGCTCGATTGGGCGCGTGTATTTATTAGGGGACGATTAGCGTCGTTTTAGTTTGTTTTAGTTTAGGATTTGTACGGAGTATAAATACTCCTCCGTAATACGATTTTAGCTCTCTTCCCTCTCCTTTTTCCTTTTACTTTTTCTTTACTCTCTTAATTGTTTTTAGATTCTCTCCATCTTAAACCTTTGTTCATTCTTAATTCCAGAATTATTTTGGTAACGATTTCTCTACTCTTAATCTTAGTTGTTTATTTCATTCCGTTAATCATGTCTTGTTTTATTGCTTTGATTAGTTTAGTTTCTATTATGTGTGAGTAGTTTTCTTTCAGGGGTTTCGGGGATCCATAAATAATATGAAGGGGTAATTTATTGTTGTTGATTGTCAATGCTAGATTAATTTCCTATTGATTGATTTAATGCTTTGTGACTAGATTAGGCCTGATCTTTTATGCACGAGTTTGACAATATTGATTCGAGATTCGACAGATGAGAATTGATGTTTAGGTCTAGTTTCAATATGCAGATTAATTTATAAATGGTTAGGTCGTGATTCGAAAGATGAGATTTAATACCAATAAATTAATTGTGTGATTATAATACGTAGCGAAAGCCCTTTATAATCTGATTAATATATGCATTGATGAATGATTATTATATTTTACCTTGGAATATTATTTATTGGTGAACCTATGCCCTAGATCCTTTTATATATTATTTTCTCCCTATTCTTGATCTCCATAGTTTAGTTTATTATTCAAATTCACATAATTTGTTACCTAATAATCTAGATCATACTATTTAATTAGGAATAGAAAGATTCGTTTCTCTGTGGATTCGACCCTACTTCCCTATCTACATTAGTTAGAGGATTTAGGTATTACTTTTGATTTGGGGATACGACTTTACCTTGTCAAAATTTGGCGCCGTTGCCGGGGAAACGATTTTATTTTTATTTCTGATTATTTTTGTAGTCTAGATTATTTTCTTTTTGTCTAAGAGAACGTTGGTTCTCTGAGGAAAATCTTATATTTGCTTCTAGTTTTTGTTTATGCTCAGGTGTTCCAGATCAGGGTACATCCCATTCGATCCTGAGATCGAACGTTCCTTCCATAGACAGAAAAATCTCTACAAGCAAATTCTGGTGAATTCTGGTGATAATAATAATCACCGCGTTCCTCCAACTAGTTCTAGCGATTCAGAGGTATCATCAGATGCAAAATTAGAGATGGCGGTTCCAAAGAAGCTTAGTTATTACTCACAACCCAAGCTTACAGATTTTCCACATCTCACCCCTACTCCGGCTCTTGATGGGGTTCAATATGAAATTAAACCTCAATTTATAACGATGATAAAGAGGAAGCAATTTAGTGGGGCCAAGGGTGAAGACCCAAATCTTCACATTGCCGACTATTGTCAATATTGCAACACCATCAGGCAAGCCGGGGTCACTCAAGACCAAATCAGGGAGATTCTCTTTCCCTTCTCTTTAACCGGAAAAGCTAAATTGTGGTTTAATGGCTTAAATAAAAATGCACTCGGTATAACTGACTGGGAAACTCTTGTTTTAAATTTCTATAACAAGTATTATCCTGCAGAGAGAACAACCATACTACGGAGTGCGATTCAGAAATTTGCCCAAGAAGCCGATGAATTTTTATATGAGGCTTGGTAGATGTTCAAGGATCTACAAAGAGACTGCCCCCACCATAATTTAGAACAATGGCAGTTAATCCAAGCCTTTTATAATGGCCTTGGAAATTCTTTTCGAACAACTTTAGATTCTGCAGCTAGTGGGAGATTTATGAATCTTGATGTTGAAGATGCAGGTCAGGTTATTGAAGACATGGCGATACACAATTCTCAATACGGGAATCCTAGAGGATTTGCTAATAAGGGGAAACATAGTGTTGACTTTGTAACCTTTTTGCAAGCTCAACTGACCTCTATATGCCAAAAATTAGATAATCTGAGCACTGCTAATGTAGCTAATGTTTCTGCGATTAATAATAATTCTAATGAGGCTTTCTGTGAAAATTGTGGTATTTTAGGTCATTGGGAACAAGATTGCAGGAGTTCCGTGGAGCAAGTTAATTCCTTTCAAGCTTATAGGCAGAATAACCCATACTCGAACACCTACAATCCTGGGTATCGGAACCATCCGTACCTTTCCTACCGGAGTAATAATGTTCAAAATCCACCACTACAAGAACCACAGGCATCACAACAACAGCAGCAGAAATATTACCATCCCAATGCTGGCCAGAAGAACCAACCACAACAAACCTCCTCATCTTCCGACCCCTCTCTGGTGGAAATCAGAGCAATATTGGTTAATATGCAAAAGCACATGGAGAGTAGAGATGCAACAATTGATCAAATCCTAGCACATAATAAAATTGTAGATAATCAAATTGCGCAACTTTCCGCTACTCTACAAGCCCACCAACAGGGAGCTCTGCTGGAACAGCCGACCAGGCCTATGGATCAAGCATTTGCAATTACTCTAAGGAGTGTTCAAACTATGAAGGGCCCCCCATGCTCAGATTTGATGAACCTGTTTTATTAAATAATGCTAATCTTGATTCCGTTAAACCAAACAA